TTTTACACTGCAACATTAAAACAAGGTACAAGACTAAAAAGGCACCTAAATCTTAGTTTAAGAAACAATTGTAACAAAATCTCACATTAGAATGTGTTATTGCAAATAGAGGCAGCAAAAATGATGCATATACTTTACAATTAGAATCAGGGTCAACTGTGTAACTGGAATGGTGTTTCCCCATCCTTGAATCTGGGAACATGGTATTGTAAATATTCATAGAAAAGTTGTTTTAATCAAGTAGCAAAGTCCAAATCTGTCTAGCAATTTCTGTACCACTATTCCATAGAGAAAAGTTCCAGAACTCCTAGTTAACGCTTGAATGTATTCACAAATGTTTAGTCATACAATGTTGCAATCTGTATTCATGAATGTTTACTGTCGTACAATGTTGTGATCACCATCCTGTATTTCACATATTTGTACACTCTCCTTGTTTATGCTTACCATTTCTCCTAGGCAAATTTACTGAGAGCACTCACCTTCCCCTCTCAGATTATGCTGTGTTTGGATAAACAAACGAACCTGTTTCCTCTTGCAAGAATCTCCGATAGTACTTACCACTGTAATAATTATTTACACTCGTCCCTGTGTAAATTAATCTTCCTTGAATCGAAAATTGCTCAAGCACTATAGACAGCAACTCAGAAGCTTTAATGGTGTCACATATAATGGTATAGACATACAATAAGTATTTCCTCATCCACACAGGCAATAGTGTTTGGCCCAGGCTCTTTTTTACTTATGGCAGGACAATACTGATGGCTTGCATTTAGCTTTGATCAATAATTTCCTTGCACAGGTCACTCCTTTCCTGTCAGTTCCACATGATGAGTTTCCAACTCAAAAAATGTTCTCTTTTTTCAGTCTGTAAGTACCTTACAGTGCACTCTGAGCACTGTACTTCATCCCAGTTCTTTTACTAGAAGTTTAACTGTGCTCAGTGCTCCACAAATATCGTCCAAATACTGATACTTTAAAGCTTTGTGTTTTGGCTAGGACACTCCTCATTTTTTAACAGATATTATTAACACGTTATGATCCATGCCAACACCGATTCTTCAGGAACTGTCATGGTACCTTCAGTTTAATAGCTCTTTTTTAAATAGTGCTTGAGTTATACCTTTTTCTCTTTTTTCACTCAGATTAGAGAGCTTACTCATTACATCTCTTCTTTCTTCCATATTGGCTTATAATTTTCCTGTGGTACACTAACAAACGCTTTACCAAAGTCATAGAATCACAGAATGGCTTGGGTCAGTAGGGATCTTTGAAGATAATCTAGTCTAACTTCCCTGCCATGGGTATGCAGGGACATCTTCCATTATATCAGGTGACTAGTAGTTGGAGGAATCTGACCAACTTTTCTGTCTTCTGCTTCATCATAGATTTATTCTCCATTCTAGGCCACCTTAGATGACACCTAGATTAACTCAGCTTCACCTAAGATGACAAAGCAATGTAGAAGAGAAAAAAGGACTGGATCTGTAGTATTGCTCTGTATGTACAGTTGGCAACATGTTTTATGGTTAAAGCTGAGTTACAAAAGAACATCTATAGTTTAAAAATGCAGCTTTGAATTCAACAAGCATTTTTACTTTTTAAGGGATTCTGCATATTTACCCCACAGTTCTTCAAACGCAAGTACAACTATTTATTTCAATATTAACAAAGAAATATAAAGATACAGTAAAATAAATGGCTTACAACACGAAGCAAAGCTTAAAGCACACCATGCAATACTAGAATCCAAATCACGGCAGCCTGCAAGAAGCACGTATTGTTAGCTTGACAAGAACCAACAACAGCTCTCAGACCAAATTCAAACAGTCCAAGTTGAACATTTTCACAGTGCCTCACATCTCTGTCCTTTTCCTCCTTTTGTACTATTTACCTTACTTCATGGGAGACACCCCGGGTACAAGAATTCCAGGAAACTAATGCAGTTTTGCTGCCAGTTAAGTCAACTGTCAGTATAAACACTGAAGTTTTCTCTCCTTCAGTGTGTTCCTAGTTCTCCAGAAAGATCAAAAAAACCCTAAGCTTGTAGCTATAAATTGTTGTGTAAAAACTATTAAACTTATCATTAATGGAATGCTTCATTAAGATCAGTACCACGCTGGCACGAATGATGGGAATAAAAGAAAATACGGGAGTTGCTATACAGTACTGCGTACAAGAGGAAAATCTAAAGAAAAAACTTGAATTTGCACCGAGGATACAACAGAGATAAACAGTAATTTGACTTTAATGCTACATTCCACTGTCTTGCACGTGGTTCTTTAACTGATGTTTGCAAGTTGCTGGATATCTACCTCTGAACTTCCTTTTCAAAGAATCATATGCTGCTAATTTGTCTGTTTAATCTTATTTTGATCTTTATATATAATTGTGAGGCTCAAACTTCAGTTTACTAGAGGTTACTGCTTGTGTTACTGTAGCCTCTAGCTTTCCTAGACATAGGCAATCCAGCCTGTTTTGTTGGATGCTTTTTAAATAAAGATGGAAAGGATTGTACTTGTCCCCAGTTGCCTGCAACAGAAGCCAAATACAAGACAGGAACATATTTGGCGACTCCTTCTCTGCATCAACATTATACACAATCGCTAAACAAAGTCACCTAACTGGTACTGCAGATTTTTGTGGGCACCATGGGAAAAAAGTTTTTTTAAAAAGAAAGATTTCCAAAACCAGATAAGTGGTTCTATATTTACAAGGAGCTCTTCTCAAAAGCAAGGGGAAACATAAGAAAAAGTATGCATGCACACTCCTGATTTTTTTTTGTCTGCTGGCTTATTAACTGCAACAAAACTTACTAAAGATTGTAGAATTGTTTTTTGACAAAGTAACTCATGCCAAAGTCAGTACGGTTTAGGGTGGGTATCCCCTGACTACCTTTCGGGACACAATCAGCTCTCAATAGTCTGGATCATCCCTCTGGACTAAAGTAAAGATGAAACATCTACTAGCACTGAAAATTTAAGCAAAAGACAAAGATGATTTCAGGCACTCTAATACTAAATACATAGAAAACTTTTTTTTTCCCCCAGATGAAGCTCATGGCCTACTTTTCTTCCAATTAACCTGTCCCACTATACTTGCCCCAATTGCCTTCAAATACACAAAAGCCCAGAGCTGAAGAAACACAAACCCTAACAAGGCTGAAGGGTTCCAATGCCTAAAACCCTCTTAATCCTAAAGCTGCACACCCTGAAAATGTTCATAGACCTCTAGAACAACCTTAACCCCAAACATCTTAAGGTGTTAAAAGTTTCCTCTTGCCTCTATTTGTAATTCTCTTCTATTCTGTCTTTCACAGGACTGGGTAGTTTGATGCTAGTTCACAAAAAACACCCCAAGAGTACAAGAACTTGGAACGATTCTCATTGCAGTGAAGAGCAATGAGAAGAGCTCAGTTTAAGAGGCATTTTTAATTTGTAATAGGACAGAGCTCCATGCAGTTTTTAAAGTGGGAACCAATTCTGTCTTGCATAAACGTGGGATCCTATGAGAAGGAATAGTATGTCTTGTCACTATATAATAGCACGGTGGTTAAACTGGTTGAGAGAGATCAGATATGAACTTCTCGGGGCACAAGCTACTCTCAAAAATCCCCTACTGGTGGCCAGTGGAAGTAACTTCACTTGCTATTTTAAAAATGAGTAGCGAGTACCCTGATGTGAAGTGCCTGCCTTTAGGAGAAGGCTCAAGGCCGGGCATGCAAAATTAAAGAGATGCCCCCTTGCAGCCATGGCTAGAGTATCTTTACTTTAAACAATTCTCCCTTCTCAGCTATTCATTTGTTGAGAGTTACAGAGAACACACAGAGTTTGTAGTCAGCTTCCTGCTCATTATGTTCATTGCTGTGAAGTCTGTTCTGATAGAATAAACTTTTCCATGTACTCTGGAGACAGCCCACAGATCACAGAATGCTTCATTTCAACAGTTACATGCCAAAAAAGTCAGGCATCACAGCTCTGTGTGCTTCATCAGATAGCGCCCAGGTTAACCTAGTACAGGCAGACCCAGAGCTGCAAAAAAGGAACAAGTGCAACTTCCCATTTGAAGTCACCGACTGAAAGCTGTTTATATGCAAAAATTATATTATTATGCTTGTGTGGGTCAGCTAATGCAAATACTTCTTGCTTTTCTCTGAAGGCATTTAATATTCATTTAGCTTTTAATTGCTCATTATACGACTTAAGTAATTTAATGCACAGCAAAGAAGGGGCAAGTACACCAGAATGCTTTACTGATTTTTGGCAAATGAAAATGATGAGTCAAAACCAACAACTTTCTCAAACAAGTCTGATTCAAAGACACTGTTAGCTAATTCTCAACTTGTTTTTTATGAAGTATAGATGCTCTTCAGTTTAAACACCTGTGAAAAATAAGTCCTCAAATGACATTTCAGATTAGAAGCAATATATTTTCCTGAAGTTCAGCTATTTAGCATTGTGTTATGCTGAAAATAGGGATTTCTTGACAAATAGGCTTCCACTTCGGCTGCAGACAACATATGATGCTCAGTATTTCTACAGTTTTTCCTTTGGTAGCTTGGAGGCTCGTGATATGAGCCCTGCATTTTTTGGGCAGTCTTTCAGGGCATGGTGAAAACCATTAATAAACTGGATTTGAAACTTTTGGAAAGATTAATATGAGCACATGCTGCACCACTGAACTGATGTCCTGCTCGAGCCCAATGTTCTTAAGTATACCTCCTGACAAGAATGACTTCACTGCTAAGAAGGAGCTCTATGTCTACCTTTTGTGTTTGTGTTTCAGTAACTTCCTATCAGATGGGTCTCTTAAAAATCGTCTACAAAGACTGAGACTTACAGGATCAGGCCCTAAATGGAACTACTTTTCAGAAATGCTGTGTCAGCAAACCCTTCTAAAGACTGAAAACAAAAATGAAGCTGTTAAAAACCAGCGAGGCAGAGGTCAGCAAAGAGAGAGAGAGAGTACATGCAACAGAGAGAGACCTTCTCCAAGCTTACCTATCCTTGTAGTTTATCACAGTATCAATTATAGCATTCATCTGTTTTGTCAGTTTCGGTGGGTTGGGTGACAACTTTTCTGCAGGAGGTCTGCCTCTTCTTTTTTTTGCTTTCTCCCCATCTTCCTTCCCAGAATCTTTATCCACATTTCTTCGTCTCTTACGCTTTTTAAGCCGGACTTCCTCTTCCATTTCTTCCAAATTGCCGTCTTCAATTGCCTGACAAGCATAGATTCAAAAAGTATTACTTTTAAACAGAAGACATACTGCCAAGGTAAATAACAAACTGCGTTGAAGACCAAAAGCGGAATCCCACGGGATGCATGTAATACAACTCAAAATGTTCAGCTGATTTATAAATAAAGGTAAATCAAGTAATTGAGTTACTGGCAACCAAAGAAACACTAAACATTAAGAGTCCCACCACCATCTAAATAGATGCACGTTTATCTGAACCTTGAACTGCACACCAACTCACAGTTTCACAGACAATAACGGCCCGTGGTACGGTTTCAGTAAGTTTACAACAAACACTCATTTGTCCAAGTCAGTAGCGCTTCTGACTTATGTAGTTCCACGCAAAACAGACTTTGAAATCGCATGTTTTCAAACTGGATGGTCAGCTCCCAAAGCCAGATCACACACAGTTCTTTGTAGCCACAGATACTTTATGCAGTAACAACACTTTCTCTCTTCCAAATAGTTTAAGTGAGTTCCAAATCACCTAAGCATTAAACTATCTCTAAAATGCACAATTTCCTTCTGGAATAGTAACCAACAGATAGGCAGAAGTACTGACAATACAGTATTTTACTGTAAAAAGCACTCATAACATGGGATGCAGAAAAAAAACAGAAAGAAAAAAGCAACCCACACACAGTCACAAACAATGAACACTAGTTTCAATTACCTGGATGTATGCTTTTAACCAGACCCAGCAGCACTGTGCAGAGGGATTAAAAAAATTGCTACAAAAAACCCAAACCACTAATAAAGGTAACCTGCTCACACACTGATCAGATCCATGTGATAAAGCAAGAAGCTGAACTTTTCCTGATTTGGGAAAGCCAATTAAAAAAAAAAACCTGGGTCACAAAATAACTGAAATTAAAAATAAAGACAATAATAATAAAACTTAAAATGAGGCTTTCTGATTAATGCTTTCTCAGAATGTAACTGATGTTGGTATTTGTTCCTTTTGCCTCTCAATATTGCCTTCAGTACATGCAAATGCTAATCAGTCCTTTCTCGTAGCTGAAAGAGCTCTAATCATAAGGCAATTACCTTCATTTCTCCACAGCACCAAACATGGCTAATATTTATGATCATGTGAGCATAACAATCAATATAAAAAGAGTCATTACAGCCCAGATGTATTTTTTCTCAATCGTGTACAATGTCTGTTGAAAAACGTTTTGTGAACAAAACCTGATGCACAACACAAAACAACCTGACATGTTAAAAACACCAGTGGGATTTTGAAATCTGTTTCCTATGCATCCTCCGATGTGCAAATCCACAGAACAAACATGAATGCAGAATCCTGAGGGACAGTCTGAAACTAGGCCTTAATAATCAAAAGACAATTTACATCACGCTTCCACACCATTCAGATACCCACTATGAAGGAGGCTTGAGATCTGATGAGTTAGTAAGAAAAGAGAAGGAAAAAAAAAAAAGAACCTGCACACAAATTCATTAATATTCATTTGGCTAAAGCATGACATCCACTATAAACCACTGCAGCTAACGAAGACTAAGAGAAGGAAATTTCTCTGCATTATCTTAGTAGCTAGAAAAGCTAATATTAAATACAGCATGCAAGGTTGTCAACAGTTAATGTCACTGCTCTCCTTAAGCAGTCAGTTGTACATTGAAATACAGAGAACACTGACTTTTGATGTGTTACACACCTACACATGCCTGTGATGTAGTACTACTGAATCTTCAAGACGGCAATGAAAAAGGATATTTACCTTACCACTATCAGCAGGCCGGCTATCGGAAATCACAGTTAGTGGGGATAAAATTAACAAGCCAGCAAAGCAGCGAGCTGCTAGTCTCTTCATCAGCTGATCAGGAAAAAAAAGAGAGCTGGGGAAAGGCTATGTTTTCATATACAAGTAATTTTATTTTACTGAAAATTTAATACTGAAAGGATTGTGGATACTCAGATCTGCTGTTTCATTCTACCTACTACAAGGCCTGAAGCCTTCCTCCTTCAGCCTGCTTTAATATTGACAACTACTTATCATATTTCTCCCCTTATTATTCCAGGCATCCAAATTCGATTTTTAGGTGGTCAGTTACTGATTCTTGTTAGCATATTAATTAGAATAGGACAGTTAGACAATTTAATGTATGATTTTAAAACTGAAATAGGTTACATGCATTTTAAAGATGCATTTATTACAGAAAATGTATTCCTTTTGCTCCGTAGTGAACAGGATCAGGTTTTGGCTACTGAAACCGATAAAAAAACCAACTGTTCTGATTTAAAAAAATTTTTAAAACTCCAAAGCAAATCAAGTTATCATTTTGTTAACTTTGCTAACATTTTGTTGGCCTTCAGAAACTGGTATTGACATAAGTAAAATACATATTTATTTGCTTGACAATTTTTTTTACCACAAAAAATAACTGCAGTGCTGTCATCACACAATTTACTAATATCTCATTTTAGAATTCTGTATAAAATTCTTTCTTGAAGTACGTAGTATTTTTGAAAAAATATTAGGATAAATGAAAAAAAAAGTGAAATCTTATTTTTTTATATTACATATAGCAGCGTTGTAAAGACAAAAACCCAAACAATTAAACTAACAGAGACTCTTGCGTTCTTAAAATCTCTAACTACTAGGTAGCAAATTAATTCTTAGATTACAGATCTGCAAACAAGTACTAAACAGTCTACTTAGCTAGTAATACATTGATTGGTTAGTATACGCAGCTTTCAAAATTTATATGCATGAATGTAAACTCAGGCAGTCTTCCTTAATTTAAGACTTCAGTTACACCACTTGAAAATCCGTGTGACAATACAAGCAGTCAAAATGTTGCTATTGTGACTCCAAACATTAGACTCAAGTGGCAAACATGCATTTTGTATATAAACATTCATATTTAAAACTAAACCCATATAATTTACGTTGCTTCAAAAGATGATTTAAAACTATATCATGTAAATCAATTATCATCAAAAATATTAATGCTCTGTGCATATATCTACACATATGATCCATGCACGTATATATGAGCAACAAAATATTTATTAAACTAATTCCTCTGATTGAGCTCTTTGTTAGAAAAGCTTACTATGGCATGGCCTACATGCCACACTGAAGAGAATGCCCTTCCAAATTTTTACCAATACAATAATGATACAAATCCCAGAAATAAATCTCCAGCTCCTCACAGACTGATGGGCTGTGTGAGAGCACAAGATAGCACAGACATCTCCCATGCTCAAATACCTCTGATTAGTGAGGTCAACAGCAAGGGAGTCAAGGAAAACAGTACACAAATCAAAACTTAACACTTTCCTTCCCTTAAGGAACAAGACAATAAAGTTTGGAGACTTCATTTTTTGACAGAAAGCTGTAAAAATTTAAGGTCAGATTTTGCAAAGGGCTGGGCACCTGATGAAAGGCAGAGGTGCCAGTAGAAGTGCGAGGACACAGTATTAAGTCCAATACTGACACAATCTTTCTGCTTTCCTGAATCTCTTTGCGGTATCCTGCTCCTTACACATAAAACAATTTCCTTGCTAAAGAGCTAAGAGTATGCAGGCTTCTCAGGGCACCAGAATTTTAAGAAAGAGCATACTGACTATAAAGAAAGCAAATTAGCTCCCCAGCCTCAAAAGTGGATTTTTCAGAAGGCAAGTAGAAGTTACTTCTGATGCAGGTGGTTTTTCTATTGCTACTTACAATTACACTTTCCTCTTCATAAAGGAAAATAGCTGATTTGAGGTAAAAGTATTCTTATGGAACGTGGATACGTAAGAAACAAAGTAAGGTCAAATGGGAACTGTTTCGTTTCTCCATTTGAAGACCAGGACATTATGGATGTGTTCTTAACTGCCTTCCTCTTGAGACCATGATACAGCACCACAGTTTAACATCTTTTCAGTTGAGAACTACGGACAAGCACTAAGTTACGGCTCTGAGTTTTGTTTCACGACTGTCTTCTGCTAGTCAACAGTTGTGTTAGTCTTATATTCCTCTTAAATTTGTTTTACTGGAATCACATAACTCAAGTGTGGTCATCCAGTGAATCAATGGAGTTGCTCAGTATAAAATCACTTTTGGCGTTTAAGGCCTGTCTGTAATATTTAATGACAAAACATCATAAGACATAGTTATTTTTCCTTTGATGTGAGATGACCATAGTATCGTTACAAGAAAGTTAAAGCACAATGAAAGCTATTTCTACCACCGTACACACAGAACAAAAATGGTGGGGAACCATGTAATAAGTCTACTGCTATTGCTAAAACTACGTTCAGAACATGAGACACAGAACATGAGATTTCTTCCTGTATCCCTCTCTGATTTTATCTTAACAAAACGAACATTAAGATAGGTTGCCTCCTTCCCTTCAGACATCAATGTTCTGTGTCTCTCCAATCTGCAAAGTCAAATTAGAGCTCTTAACTAACAATACCACATGAACATATTTGCTAGCAGGCTAACTAAATGCCATTGTTCTGTAGGTCAACATGAAAAAAGTTGGCTTCCCAACTCCCTGAACATATATAATAAACTAATCATGAGAAATTTCCCAAAGCATGAGATTCTCCAGGAAACAAGTAATTTACCTGGACACTGTACAACTGACCAAAAGGCACTAAGCTTAATGGCTGTTAAGCATGTAAAACCAAGAGACATGCCAGTAATGCAGTTACAAACAACAGGAGACCGTTTTGCAAAGTGAAGCACCCACTTACCAATTTGGAAGAGGAGAAAGAAGTAAAAGAATCCTACAGAAGACTAATAACAAACATCAAAAGCACTAAAATTTCATCTACCTGCCCCAGTCTATTTCTTCCTTCACCATAATCCTTCAAGTACTATATGGATATTCCAAGGGAAATTTCACTTCCTCCCTCACTCCTCATCTTGCTCTATTTGAAATCCTACCCATCTTTATTTTACACTTTTGTCCTCAGATTATATCTTACAAGAATGAAGACTTCAATTTTTCAATCTGAAGTTCATCTTTTCCTGAAGATCTCTTCCAAATCCAGTTCTGCTTAGTTTCTCAGCAGTGACATTCCTGATGTCTGGGACTGTTTAAGTTCCACACACTGGAATTTCTTCTTGGCTCTCCAGACCAAGTTCCCTTAAATGGTAACTAATTACCACTTGCTATGCTGTATCATAGAGGTCAGTATACCGCAGACAAAAGCTATGAAGAACAACGTCATGATATTTGACGTTTAGGTTTAGGATACGCTATCAACAGTACTTGAAGATAATTTTATTTTAAAATAACCTGAAGAGTTATTTTAACTGAATTTCCTCTCCTTGTTGGATAGCATTGTGTAAGAGATCTACCAGAGTAGTTTTGCTTGGACTAAGCTAGAACAGAGTATAGTGTAAAATCTGCCAAATGCAAAGAATTCATAAATACATCCAGTTTTTTCTTGCTTTCACTGCTGACTCATTCTCTTCCATACAAGGAAAATCCCAAAAAGTCTCCATTCAGCACTTAAGCAGAAACAGAAGTATCAAAACCCCCCACCCACAAACAAAAAGCAATTATTCCAAAATTACATACACATCTAATAAATGGTCCTCTCGGATATACTGAACTTCCACAAAATAAGAAAACGGAGTCCTTCAGCCATACGTTCTTCAGTCAGAATCTACATTTTCACATTGCTGAAACCTGATTCTAAGCGGGAGGTTGATTGTTGTGCATTTAAAAAACTATTAATAGCTGTTTAATTATTTTCACAGAAACTTCAGATGCTCATTTTTAATTAGACATTAAGGAAAACAATAACAAATTACACAAAGTTTTTCTTTGCATTTTGATTGAAAGACTGATGCCAAAAAGTCCTGGTCGAACCATGAAAGAACATACTTACCTTTGGTAAGTATGGTCTCAACCAAAGCAACAGGGTGTAACATTAAAAAAAAAAAAAACGTTATCAATTAAAAGACTTGTAGGATCAAAACTTTTATCTTCCGTGTTTTCCTTCTGGTATGAGAAAAATACTTCAGATAAAATATCCTAATATTTAATCTTAACGTAAAGTATCTTTAATGTTTGACATGACAACTATGATATAAAATATTACACAGAGCCAGCACTGACAAACTTTTCTCTTAAAAAATGAAATCTAGCTAAAATATATATAAATCAATAATTAGTCTCACTCCTCCCTACCACAACAGGCAAACTGTGATTTTAAGTGAAACCACTCAAAATGATTCTGCACCTACAAGCTTCTCATAAACTCTGGGGACAGAGAGACTGAAGAGCACAATAATTACTGAGGCTTTCAGGGAGCACAAGGGAAGGGCTTCATTAGGGTGAAAGGAATTGAGTGATAAAAATTGTATCATCCTGGCTTATAAAGATGCTTTGCGTAATCAATCAGAGTATTGGAAAAATACATGTTCTCTGTATTAAGACACTGAATGAGGAACTTCCAAAAATCATCAGTATTCTGTGGTCTACAGCTACTCAGCTGCACTGTTAAAAGACCTATAGCACTCTCTAATTGTCTTCTACAGGTTTTAAAAGTAAGTGTGACTTATCCCTCTCATTTTGACAAAATTGTACTTTATGCCTTGATAAGAAGATTTAATAGCCTCTTGACTAAGTCAACCTAACCTAGAGGCAGGAAAAAGAGGGAGGAAGAGTCCAAACAAATTCTATACCAGAAACTACTGATATCAACCTCTTATCACTGAATTGTTCTGTTGTGTTTTGGTGGTTTGTGGGGTTAATTTTTGCTTCTTTGGTTGTTTTTTTCCTAAATCTTCTCCTCTTTTTAGAAAGCTATATCACTTGCTGAACAACTTCTGCTACATGGAGAAATAGCCTGTTTCTAAAC